ATACATCTCCTCCACTTTGGCATCCTTAGTGCTAGTAATATCAAAAATTCTTTTAAATCTTTCCTTTAAGCTGAAGTTTCCCATCCATTCTTCAAGCCAAAAACTAGCACCGTCACCTATACTGACCAGCCAACCCACACAACCCCTAATAAAATGGCTGTCATCCCGAATTTTCCTCCAAAAGGCTCAACCCATGAGACTTGAATTTACCTTTCTTCCACTCTCTCTTTCCCAATCACCCCATCTAGCATGCATCACCTTCCACCACAATTTCTCTTCCTCCCCAACAGACCTCCACAACCATTTCCCATGGAAGACACGATTTAACTCCACTATTGATTTTAAACCGAGCCCCCCTTCCATAACCCGTTTTTTTACCTACTCCAACTTAATCAAATGGTATTTCCTATTACCTTTTTCATCACCCCAAAGGAATTTATATTGAATATTTTCAAGTCTTTTTGCAATGCTGGCCGGAATTGTTAAAATGGAAAGATAGTATATCGGTAAATTAACAAGTGTACTCTTAATCAAAGTAAATTTACCCCTTTTAGATAGGAAATTTCTCTTCCACCCCGCCAACCTATTTTCAAACATTTCAATAATAGACTCCCAAGTTTTCACATCTTTATATTTGGCCAAGTGGAAGACCAAGGTACTTTATAGGTAGAGTAGTAAGTTTGCAACCCGATACCATGACCAAGCTAGCTTCATCTCTTTTATCCCCCCAATCCGTATCATTTCTGTCTTTCTCAAGTTGATTCTAAGACCGGATACCATTTAAAAGCAAAGTAGGATACATCTCAAGTGTAAAATGACATTAACATTCGGGTCACAAAAGATTAAAGCATCATCTGCGGAAAATAAGTGAGAAACTCTTACTCTTTCCTTCCCTCTCCCAATATCCACTCCCTTCAACAAGTTCAATTTCCCCGCCCTCTCCATCAATCTACTAAAAGCCACCATAATGGTAAGGAAAAGTAATGGTGATAAAGGATCCTCTTGACGAAGACCTCTAGGATCCTTGAAAAAAGTTGATGGTCCCCCATTAACTATGACCGCAAAGGAAGTAGAAGAAATACATTTTCTAATCCACTTTCTCTATTCACACCCAAATCCCATCTTACCAAGCATATACTCCATAAAATTCCAACAAACATGATCATATGTCTTCTCCATATCAAATTTGCATATAAGGTCCTGTTTTTTCTGTCCACCAAATCATCCACCACTTCATTGGCAATTATCACCTCATTGAGATTTGTCTCCCTTCAACAAAAATATTTTGATTTTCGCCAATCACT